CGCGCCGCCCCTCCCCCGGTGTACCTCCTCCGCCGCTCCCGCTCCCTGCTCCCCGGTCCCCGGCCGTGTGCGTCCCGGGCGAGCGCCAAGCCTGGGCCCGGCCTGCCGCCCCCTCCCCGGCTTCAGGCCCGCGCCCCGGACCCCCGACCACACCTGCTCGCCCTTCCTGCTTCCGTCCCACGCCGGCCGCACCTCCGGAGCCGCTCCCGCCGCCGCCCTCGGAGCACGTGCGCGCGCGGGTCCCTGCCGGGGAGAGGCCCGCACGGCCCGATGACGCCCGGACGGCGCCGCGCTGTGCGACAGCCCTGTACCCTCGGCCTGTGAGACCGTCGTCGGCTCTCAGCCCGCAGCAGACATCGATGGAGGCGGTTTTCTTTAGTTAAGGAGACCGGGCGTGGTGGCGCACGCCTGTAATCCCAGCACACTGAGGCAGGAGGGCGGCTGCCTTTGAGGTTTGAGGCCAGCTTGGACCGTGTAGCAGGACCCTGTGTCAAAAAGAGAAAGAAAAGACCAGGAGGCAGTTTTCAATCTAAGTCGGTGAACTCCGTGAATAAGCCCCTTGTGCCTCAGTCCTCAGTTGTCAGTGGCGCAAGGACAGTTTCAAGCGTTAGTCTGAAGATAACAACCCCTAAGCCGCGTGTGTGGCGCACGCCTGTAATCCCAGCATCCAGGAGGCTGAGGCAGGAGGATCATTGCGAGTTCGAGGCCAACCTGGGCTACAAAGTGAGCTCAAGGCCAGCCTGAACTGCATAGCGAGACCCTGTCTCAGACAAAACAGACAACTCCCTAAGGGTGAGCCTTTCCGATTGGTGCAGGCACCTGATAAACCTTACCTGTTAGACTTGGTGTGGTGGTTCACACCTGTAAATCTCAGCACTTGGGAGTCTGAGGCAGGAGGATCACTATGAGTTTAAGGTTAGCCTGGGCTTCATAAGGGAGACCCTGTCTAAAAAAAACAAACCAAACCAAAAACACCGTTCCCGTTACTCTTTTTTTTTTCTTTTTTGGTATTTGGAATCAAACTCAGGACTTTGCGCTTGTGCCACTGAGCTACATCCCCAGCCCCCTTCCCATTACTCAGCGCACTCCAGGGGCCGGGTTCGGAGGTGGAATGGGATGGCGGTGCTTCCTCAAGGAGCCCAGGCTCTCCTGCAGCAGGAGGACCCACAGGAAGACAGCTGGAGGATAGTGAGATTAGAAACAAGACAAGCTGGTGTGGTGGCCCACAGCCGTCCTCCAGCGCTCATTTCTGGAGGCTGAGCCAGGAGGATCACGAATTGCAGCCCAACCTGGACGGTTTAGTGACTTTGTAAAAAGGGCTAGGGCTGGAGCTCAGTGTGAAGGCCCTGGGTCCAATTCCCGGGACTACAGAGAATAAAATACGAATACAAGGGAGAGGCACTCAGAGGCCTGAAGCATCGGCCTCAGAAGCTGGTGGGAGCTGGGAATGGGCTCCAGGCCAGCCGCCTCAGCCCGCCTGAACACGTGCCGGGGCCTGAGGGCCTGGGCCCGGCGCTCAACAGGCGTTGCTGGACTTGGCTCGCACGTTTAGTGGTGGCCCTTTTGCCTGGGGACTGAGGGGGACTGAAGGGGACACAGTGAGTTTTTGTATTGGTTGAGGTGCAGAGGGTGACGGAGATGGGGGCTCAGCAAACGTGTACAGCCAGGACGGCCTCGGGTGGGGGTGGGCTCTGACCTGGTTGAGGCTGTCACTGGAAGGTGTCACTGGGAGGCCCTGCAGCCTCCCTCGTGCGGGCGGTGGGTCGTGGGACTGTGCCCTGCGGGTGGTCTGCCCCCGGCCCCTTCCTCTTGGGCTCTTGATCTCTTTGTTTCCTGGCTGCCAGGAGGTGAGCGGCTTCCCTCCACCACACCCTTCCGCCCTGACCTTCCTGCCTCGCCTTGGAGCCAGCCAACCGTGGGATGAAACCTCTGCGCCGGCCCCACACCGTATCCACCTTCCCTTTACCTTGCTAATGTCAAACGTGTCCTCACAGGGGCAGGAAGCTGGCAAACGTGGGGAGCTCTGTGGATGATGAGGGTGGGCGAAAGGGTGACCAGCCCAGTGTGCTGGCCTGAGGTGGCCGCTGGGGACTACGATTTGGCAGGCGTGGCTGTGGGCAGAGGCGGGCTGGCGCGTGAGGGTGCAGCATGGCCTCTTCCCTCCTGCCTCCTTTCAGGGACTCTCCCAGCTGCACTGCCCATGTGCCGAACGTGCCCTTAACGCCCCACCCAGGGATGAGGACACGAGGGGGGTGCAGTAAGTCCCCGCAGCGTGACGCCCAGGGAGCCCGCCAGGCTGTCCTCACGCCAATGTCTTCCCAGCGGCCTGGACCTTTTGTTCGGCCCTTGGCCTGGGCCGCCCTAGGGTGTCCACAACACCACAGCTGACAGATGCTGAGGACCAAGCTAGTGCTGGTGCAAGGGGAGGCCCTGGGGTCACAGCAACAAGCAAGAGAAACAGATCTGTCTTTGTGGCAGTAGCAGCCCAGCAAAGCCTGGTGTGGAGGGGACGGCATCCAGGCTGCTGGGGACCTGTGGTTGGGAAGTGGCCTTGTAAGCAGAGCCCAGTGCTGAGCAGAAGAGAGGTGTGTCCCTGGTAGAGGCAGCACCTGGCCCAAAGGCAGCTCAGGGTCTGGGCTGTGGAAGGCCAGTGTGGCTGGAGTTGGGGCTGAGGGGCAGCAGGCCCTGGCCCGAGGTCGCCCTGAGCCACCCACTCCGTGCTTGCCCCTTCAGCGCCAGGCTGTGCTGCAAGCAGGTGGAGCATCTTCTCGAGACACAGAGAAGAAGGAAGCACACCACAGGGGGTGAGAGGGAGGAGGTGATGGGGAAGGCCAGGCAGTGTGGAGCCTGGGAAGGAGCCGTGCTCTGGGCAGACAGTGGGCAGGAGGTCCTGTGGTGCTGGACCCCTGTGGTTAGGGAGGGGAGGCAACAGACAAACAGGGGCCAGGCCTTGTGAGGCTGAGGAAAAACACAGGACATTTCAAGTGAAGAAGTAATCGGCTTTTTGTGTCTGTGTCTTGCAGGGTTTTTTGAGATGGGGTGTTGCTGTATTGTCCAAACTGGTTTGAACCTCCTGGGCTCAAGCAATCATTCTGCCTCAGCCTCCTGAGCAGCTGTGACCGCGGTGCTTGCCATGTCTGGGTTCAGATGTGTTTTTAAGATTTCATGGTGGGTGTGGTGGCACAAGCCTGTCATCCCAGCACTGGGGAGGCCAAGGCAGGAGGATCACCATGAGTTCAAGGGCAGCCTGGGCTACATATCAAGACCTGTCTCAAAAATCTAAAAAAAGAAAAAGAAAAGAAAAAGCCTCAGCCAGTATGTGGAACTGCCTAGGGGAAGGAGAGCAGGAGGGTGGTTTCGGGAGGTCTCGGCTGCCTAAGGATAGCGGCCGCGGGAAGGCTGGCGGGTTTCCGGGGGGCTTGGAGCAGGGTGTGCAGTGAGGAGTTGGGCTAGAGGGGGGGCAGGAGGACGACAGAAGCAGAGGTTGAGCCATGGCGCTAGGCTGGTGACCTCACAGCGGCTGGAGTGCAGGATGTCCAGGAGGTAGAGGGTGAGGCTGTCTGAGGCCTACACGCTCTGGGACAGCACCGTCTGGAGCTGCTGCCCACTCCTCTGACAGAGCACCACACGCCAGGCTGGCCTCAAACTCAGCGAGTGATCCTCCTGCCTCAGCCTCCTCAGTGCTGGGATTACAGGCATGTGCTGAAATGTCTTGCTCCATCTTTAAAGTGTCTTTGGCCTACAGTTTTGGTTCTCGAGGCTGGGAAGGCCAGGGGTACAGCAAGATCTGGGTGAGCTCCCCAGGCCAGGGACGAAATTGCCGAGCACATCCATTGCTTCAGGGCCCACTGGCATGGTGCTGTGCTAATTTGTTGCTCTGATCCCAGCTGTAGTTCCAGGTTCCTGCAGTCCAGTGCTGAGCCCCTGGAGGTAACATTTCCACACGGGCTCTGGAGGGGGCAGTCATACCACTGCAGGTGGTCTAGTGGACACCTCTTGGAGTGCTTGCACGTGGTAACAAGTGGAGGCTCTGTGTGCATGTGCACGCCTAGGATGGATTGGGTGGCACACTCCTGCAATCCCAGCACCGACGGAGGCTGAGGCAGGAGGATTGCCACAAGGCCAGCCTGGATACATAGAGCTGCCTCAGAAAACAAGTGGGAAGACTGGGGGTGTAGCTCAGTGCAGACCACCCCCCATTAAAAGAGGAGGCTGACACCAACAGGGTGGACCCGAGGGCAGGACAACGTCTCCTGGGTGTGCGGGTGGCTGTGTCAGAACGGAGTGAGTGGCAGGTCTGACCAGGAGTTGCGGGGGCTGTGCGTTGGGGCCTGTGTGCAGAGCCGGGTCTCAGCCCTTGCTGCACCCAGAGCCAGCCGAGGCCAGGTGGGAAGGGAGAGCTAGGTGCACGGTGTCCGCCCTGCTGCAGGGACTGTGCTGTCCAGGCAGGAGCACAGCTGCGCCTGTGCGCCGGGTGGCTTGGGGTCCTGTGCACCTAAACAGGCCTGCCTTGGGATGGTCCCGATAGGCCCTGGCCACCACAGGTGCTTTGTGCCCAGGTGAGCCCTGGAGCCCAGGGCAGTGTGCCACACTGCAGCCTTTATTCTGAGACAGGGTCTCTCCACATTGCCCAGGTTAGCTTTCAGGTTTTTTTTTTCTTTTTTTAATTAACTTTTTTTTAATGCAGCAGAATAGTTTCTGATTTTGTAATGGCATCTACTTTGACTTTTTTTTTTTAGGAAATTATCAATGGTTATTGTTTTACATATTGTTATCTACAAGATCGTTTCTTGGGAAAACAAATAGACAAATAATAGTGAGTTACAGACAAAAGAGGTAGGAGATTATCAATAGTTGTTGTACTATACTTTGGTATCTTCAAAGTGGCTTCTAAAGAAAATAAATAGAGCTATACATGAGTGACCTATTGAATAATCATTAACTATTCTCAATGGTTGTTGTAGGAAACACATAGTAATAAACATACATCCATAGCTGTCAGTTTTTGATCCTGCCTCAGCCTCCTGACTCCCAGCATGCACCACCCCACCCAGCACGGTCCTTCTGTGTCAAACCTGCTGGTCACCCCTGCCATCCACCTTCCTCTAGTCAGGGACCAGACGGCAGTCAAATCTTCATTTTTCACTTTATTGTACAAAAAAGGGGAAAACAAAACATCCACAGTCGGCCGTCAGCTTAGGCAGACACCAGGCCTCTCCCTCCCGCCTCCCACGGTACAAATTCAAGGTGGCTGTTGTTGAAACCTATAAAACACGCCTTAAATATTAGAAAAAAAGGGGTGGGGGTCCTCCCACCCCAGCCGGCCCAACCCAGTGCCAAAATGCACTCAGCACGGCCTCTTACAGCACCAGTCCCTGTGCCCGCAACCCTGCCCGCACTGTAAGAACTTCTAAGTTTTTAAAACAGGAAAAAAGTATCCTGTTCAAAGTTGCTTCAAATGAAAACATATTCCACTAAAACATAATAGTGCAGGGGCACTCAAACAGGAATAGGGTTCCTCTAGGGGCTCCTGGGAAACGAAACTATAAACCCTGTGTCTAATCCCAGGACCTGGACAGCGGGAGGGAGTGGGCATGGGGGTCTGTCCTTGTCCCCTCCCCGAACCAGAGCCTGGCCCCACTGTTTGATCCCCACCCCCACTTCAGGCTTCCATTCAGAAGGGGCTGAGGGGAATGCAGTCTCCCTTAAGTAGATGGGCCTGATTTAAAAAAAAAAAAAACAACCCAGGAGGCTGCGGCTTGGCTTATGAAAGGTTGAGGAATCCGGGTACCAAGGGCATGGGGCTGCCAGCCAGGGTCGGGGGCCAGCAGCAGGCACCCCCTGCTGTGGGGCTGGGGTAGGGAAGAGGGGCACAGACCTGAGAAATCAAAGGAAAGGGCAGCCAGGGAAAGGGGCCAGGCAGGAGTGTGCGGCACCAAGACTGGAACACCCTGCAGCCCCGCGAGGCGCAGGGAGCGGCTTCGGCTCACTCCATGCTCCCCCTTTCCACCTTGCTGCTGGCTGGCAAGGGCCTGCAGGAGCTGCTGCGTGTGACGCTGGCGAGGAATCCGGCTGCAGGACGCACTTGAGTGGCTTCAGAGGCAGCAACCAGCAGAGGAGGGCGCAGGAAGGGCAGCTGTAGCCCATTGGTCCCCCAGGGCCCATGTCCCGGCTGTCACCAACCCTTCCGCTCGCAGCGCCACCGCGGGGCCCCAGGGCAGACCGGTGCACGCGCAGCCACAGGTGCACCCACGCTATGTACAGGACACACACGCACGCACTCTCGCACACACACCAGGGCCGGTTAAAAAAGTCCCCGTCCTACCCCCTAAGCCCTCCCTCTCCCAGAAATGACAACAGAGACGGCAGCCGGGATCGGTAGGAAACGTCTCGTTGACAGCTCAGAGCTTAAAAAAAAAATATATACACATATATAAAAAACACTTCTGCCCCTCCCCGGGTGGGCCTGGGTGGTGCCCACCTCCCACAGGGGCAGGTGAGGGCAGCAGCAGTGCCTGGCTGCCCTCCTCCCCCGCTCCCCGCCTCCAGTTCCAGCGCCGTGGGCAGCAGCCCCTCCAGAAGGACAGCTCCTCCCAGCCTGGCCCTCCGCCTCCAGGGGCTGCAGGTACGGAGGCTCCAGTCCTGGGACCCCCAGCCCACCCGGTCCATTGTCCAGGCCCAAATCGCAAGTGCAGGGCGGGTGGTGGCCGGTGTCCCCTGCTGGCTCAGTCTGGTGGTGGCTGTCCCTAGGGAACCTGGGCCTCGGCCCCGGGCTGCAGAGTCCTGGCCCGGGCCCCTCCAGCCCCCTACCCCCACCATGTTTTGTTTAAAAAAGAAAAAGAAAGAAAGGAAGTGGGGGAGGCCGGGGGCAGGGGACCGGACACAGCAAGACGGGAGGGCAGCTGGGGGCGCGGGCTCGCGGGCGCCCAGGCCGGCCCTCAGTTGGAGTCCGAGTCCGAGGAGTCCCCCGAGGACGAGGAGCTGGAGCTGCTGCCCTCAGACTCGTTGTCCTCGTCCTCGTCGTCGTCCTCGTCGTCGTCCTCGTCGTCATCGTCCTCCTCGTTCTGGGGACGAGAGGGCCTGCGGTCAGCAGCGGCCTTCCTGGGGACGCCCCCCGCACCGCGCCCACCACCCACCTCGTCCCCGTCCTCGCTGTCGTCGTCACTGCTGGACTCCGAGGAGTCCCCGCCATCCTCGGAGGAGTCGCCGTTCTCGTCCTCCTCCTCGTCCTCCTCCTCGTCCTCGTCCTCCTCGTCCTCGTCCTCATCCTCTTCTGACTCCTGGGGGGCAGGGAGGTGTCGTCCTCACGCAGGCACAGACGCCCCGCCACACCCCGGGCTGGAGGGGCTCCTTACCGACTTGGACTGCAGGGCTGTGCGGCTGGACTTGGGGTTCGGGCCCCGCAGCTTGGTCATGCTCTTGCGCTTCTGCGGGAGGGGAGGAGACAGCGCCTGAGTCCAGGCCTGAGCCCCGCCCGCCCGC